ACAGAGGCGTGTGGAATAAAGAACCTTGCCTAAGGTTTCGCACTGCCCGGGAATCAAACCCAGTTCATCTCACTTGCGAGACGGAGTGCTCTAACCACTACGCTACAGGACTTCAAAAGACTTGGATATATAGTAAACTCCTGATAACTCAATCCTGGTTTACCTTATCACTACCACTTATGTCGGCACGCTATCAATACACCGGCTGCTTCCTATGTAAAATGTTAATCAGGGACTCCACTTTACTTGTTACTCCACTTAATACGCAACTGGCCGCATTCTAGAAATTGTTGTAAGTATGTGCAACATAAAGATAACTCATCCTATCGAAGATGTGATAAGGCGCTATTTCACATGGAAGGATTATTATTATTATTATTATAAGATAGTGATTTTCATCATAGAGGTCTCCCGCTCTATCCTGTGACTGGTGCAGGTGCTCGGCAGAGGCTGGTCACACATGCTCAGATGCATCACAGCGGCCTCTCGTCTATAGAGGGCCGCGGCATGGCCTCCTGCCCTATCTTGTAACAGGATAGGGCGTGAGGTCACGGTGCCGCTCTGCAATAGACCAGAAGCCTCTGCGATGCATCTGAGCATGTGTGACCAGCCTCGGCGAAGCGCCTGCACCAGGAGGGCGCACCTGGAGAGGCTAAGCCAAACTCGCCACTCCAGGTAACTATCAGAGTTCTTTTCCCTTGCAGTAAAAAGTTATCTTGAATTTGTATAACACTATGGATCTAAGGAAGACTGATTTACTAATAAAAAAACTGATTTACTAAGAAACCTGATTTGTTACAGTATCTGGCAACATGCGAAAAAGTAAAAATTTGATCCATGTAAAAATTAAACTATAATTAGGTTACCACTTTTATATAATAAAAAAAACTCTGAAATCATACAAAGGCCACAATAAAAGTTTGGTGCATGTTCTTTTCATGCAATGCATGTTTTTTTTGATTTTTTATATTTTACTTACAATTATTTATAATGACAGAATCCAGTTCAAAATCGTAGATTTTTTTTTCAAGTCTTTTCAACTCACACCTGGGTATGTGCATTCGTGGGTCTCTCTGTCTCTCCACTCCACTAAGAATGTTATCATTAACGTACATTTCCTTTCCCTTTTCTTCCTCACAAAATTCACATTTTTTTATATTGAATTCTATTAACCACCTATTTATATGCTCACTCTGTTAACCTGGTTTTGACATTCCACCTCAAAACTTCTCATGTTTCCTAATTTGGAATCAACACACTCGTAATCTTTACTCTCTCCGTGTATATGAAAAATAAGAGAGGCCCTAGCAGACGGCTGGGGATACCACAGATTACATCTTGGCAATCAAAAAAATATCCTTTCAACCCTACTTTTTACATTCTTTCCTCTACATCTCTCCATCAAAGCTGCCATAATCCTCCCAATACCATGTGAATTGTTTTTTGCAGCAATCCTCTTAAATGAAATGCTTTCCAGAAATGCATATAGTGTACATAAAAATATACTGCATTCTTGTTATCTACACATTTGGTTATTTCTTTAAAAATAACATTCAGTTAGTCATGCACAGCCTGCCTTTTACAAAACTGGTTGCTAATTTAATCCCTTATCATTGACTCTACACATTTACACAAAACCAATATGAGATTTACTGGTAAAAATGTTTAGAAAACTAGAGTCAAAACCTCCATTATCTCTTTCCTGATTTCTTTCAGCATTCTGGGATGCATTCCATTGGGACCAATGATTTTCCACTCAAGATTCATTAACTGTTCCAACACCATTTCCCTTGGAATAATTATCCCTAGGAGTTGCTCAGCATTTTCAACAAATGAATTACTAAGCAATGTCAGCCTTCTTTCATTCAGTTTGCCACCTTATTTTCGAAGACGTCTCGTTCTGCTATTTTCCATAGGCACATAAAAACCTCTGCAAGTTGCCATAAGTTAACCATCAGTCTGTTTTTCATACTGACTTCCTACCCTTTATCTGTATTGTCTACAAAATGCACAGTCACTACAGTTAACAGTAAATCCTGTGAAGTGCGTGAAGACGTCATCTAACATGAAAGGCGGTATATCAAATGCAAGGATTATTTATTTACCAACCCTATCATCTTTGTATTACAGTATCTTCTATTACAGTCGTTTTTTAATTGAATCCAATGTCCTGGCCTCAACAACCCATCCTGTTAACCCATTTCAGCTGTTGATTACCCCTTTGTGTAAAGAAAGACTTCCCAGTATCCGTCCTAAAATTACATTTCAGGATCCTGAATCTCTGATATTTATTTCTTCCAGAGCTCCATAAAATGTAAGCATAACCTTTGGGATAACGCAGCATTAAGAGTTCAGTCTAGCAGTAATAGAATAGTTTCACCCTCTAATATATCCTGGGGAATCACATCCTTTTCAGCTAGTCACCAACACAAGTAATTAACAAGCCCTCTCCCCACCCCCCAAAAAATACCAGTAGCTAATACTTAATTTTGTGTGCAATTTATTGTGTGTCTTGTTGGGTCTTCATGTCTTACTCTGCATCTTTCTCTTCCTGAATACTTGCTGTTTTGGACTATATTCCCTACCTCTGTGTTCTTCAAAGTTACCCACTCTTTCTGGATAATTCTTCTTCTTGTGTATCTGTTTCTCTCTGTATTTATTTCTGTGGATCTCCTGTCTTGTAATATTTCTATGTCTCTCACTTCTATTTATTTTTCATTTCTTTCTTTCTGCCTTATCTAATTTCTTTTCACATCCTTCCTCTCTCTTTTATATTATATACATAAAAGGAGAATAACCCTTTAAAGAGGTGCCCGGAAGAGAATAAGTGAATTCAGATAAGAATAACAGAAAAGTAATTAATTGATCTTACTAGCAAAAACTGCCATTTTAAAAAATAAAAATCTATTTGTATTGTTCATGCATTCATTTTTGAATTGAATCACAATTCATTTTTAACAGCAATGGTATCTGTGCCTAATGCAAAGCATTGAAAAAGCCAGATGAGCACCCAACATCTTTGAGTCATTGATTCAGTATGGGATTCATGTAATGGCCTGTATCATCTCCACACAACAGAACGAAAACATATCTAAACAGCACAGAATGCAGTTAATCATTTGAGCTAATATAGCTTAATTAGTATAAGCTAAAGGTAGAACTCATAAAATATGTTGTTCATACTGCCCAGAGAATTAATCTCTGTTTAATCTGCAGATCTTTTGACTGAGTTTGTTGCCATCATAAAACAGGCTGAGCAACATCAGATTAAGCAATAACAAATGACAATCGGGCAGCTGGGGTGGGGGGAGAGGGGGAACAGTAATAGGGGACCAAGATTATTTGTCATAAACTCAGTTACTGGAAGACCCTTGCTTTAGAGAACAACTGGAATATGAATCAAGTTTGTACGTGACTAATGGCAGGCTTTAAGCTGCTATGATAACCAGTCACATAAATATAATAATATTACTATGACATTTTTATTCTTTTCTATCCAATCATATCACTGTTATTCTTTCACCTGTGATAGGATACACATTCCTTATACTGAAATAACAATAAGGTCAATAAAGCAATTCCAATACTAACAAATTAAAACAATAGTTCCTGAATTGATGACAGGGCTTTGCAACCTAATCTGATCCTCATTCTATGGGCATCTGTGATTGCTGTCAAAACAACAGACCTACCAGTTTAACCTCATATAACTGCAAGTCATATGGAGACCAACCTCATTACAAGATATGCTTCTTCCTGTCATAAAATGTTTTTGGCACCTTTTCTGCTTGATCAGCTCTTTCCAGACAACGTGTCTCATGTAGTCGAGGAGAATGGACATCTAGTCCTGGAGTTCACCAATATTAATCCCCAATCAGATACTTGGAGACAGTTGCAAATAGATCTTGCTTCAATTGTACCTATCCTTATGGGAAGTGATTAGAAGATACAGATGAGATTAGGAGCTCAGTGAAGTGATGGGATTCAATCTGCCCTCTCACCTCACTATTTTAAACAGAAAAAAGTGAATTTTAATAAAATGTGATATGCAACAATCTTAATTAAAAACTATATTTCTGAGTTAAACACATTCAATTATTTGTGTTTACACGAAACATATGCCAATAGAAAGCACCATGCTGCTTTCTATTGATCTAGATCATTACAGCAAACTCACAATATTGAATTCTAGGCTTAATACAATTGTAAGATAGACCATGGTATTAACTTGTCCAGAAAATAGAAATTCAGTATGCAACAGGAATCTGAAAGTCTGTCAATTGAAAATTAAATAGTCCCATTCACCTTCACCTCACCTTCAATTAAGTACACGAGAAATAATAAACACATTAGTACTCTCAACTAATCACAGCTGGCGGAGTTGTAAACTTCACAAAATTGACTTTGCAGTAAATAAAACTGCAAGTGAAGTGAACTTGATATACCACTATAAATGGATATAAGTGCACACATCAAAAAAAAAACTAATACCGAGAAAGGGAAGCAATAAGTGTGTAGATTTCACGCGTGAACTACGACAACAACTGCAACGTTTCGTTGCAAATGGAACCCGTTACATTTTCAGATAAGCAGCATATATATATATATATATATAGGTGCACAGTATAATGCAAATGTGCTGTCGTGTTATATGGCACCGTGACAGTCCCTGAAGGCCCCCAACTCCAAATGCATTAGCAGTCACCATTGGCACCACTTGCCCGGGCGACCAATGGTACACCAACGTAAGGCTTCTTTGGGGGAGAGAAGCGGAGGGGGGGGGAGAGAGGCAGAAGGGAGGAAAGGTGACCGGTGGGCAAAAAAGATTCCCTGAGCTTCGGAGCGACCTCCTCCCCTCCCCCCGGAACCGTCCTTCTCCGCGAGGCGCCCCCTCTGACCCTGTATATGGCATCACTGACCCAGTGGGGAGCGGGTGCGGTGCAGCAGCAATAACCGGTCGGGTGGTGGGTGGTCGGGGGTGTGGGGGGGACGACACTTACACAATCTCGTCGTTTTGAAACTCCAACTCCCCGTAGGTGTCCTCGAAGTCCACTCCGGAGCCGTGCGCACTGCCCTCCACCGTGCGGTAGGGCAGCACCACGGCGCCCCTCGCCCCGGACATCCTCAGCACCTTGACCTCCATGACCCCCACGCTCTCGCTCACGTGCGCCGCCTTCTCCTCGAACGTGAAGATGCCCGCGTGGTCGTCGTCGAAGATGGTGACGTTGGCGGTGGCCGGCGAGCCCAGCGCCACGAGCTCGGTCACGTGATTGGTCTCCGCGGCGGCCTCGGCCCCTCCCGCCGCTGCTGCCGCTGCTGCGGCTGCGCCGGGGCTCGTGTCGGATGCTCCGTCCTGGGCGACCCCCGCCTGCGCGCCTGCGCACGAGGCGCCGGTCCCAACCGCCGCCTGTCCTTCGCCGAGGCGCGCGTTGCTCAGGTGGACGCAGAAGTTCTCGTCCTCCTCGAAGATGTCGTCGTCTATAATCCCCACCGCCAGCTCCTTGTGCGTCTCGCCGGGCTTGAACACCACCGTGCCCTCGGTGAACTCATAGTCGGAGCCGGCGTTGGCCGTGCCGTCCTCCGTCCTGAAGTCGACGGACACGATGTTGGTGAGGTCGCCCCCGCGGCGCACCACGGTGAGCGCGATGGAGCCGCAGTTCTCCAGGCACTGGTAGATGGCGGGCTCGAAGTAGATCTTGCTGACGGGGCCGTCGTCCACCGGGCAGCCGCTCACCTCCTGGGTGGAGACGGCTTTCCTCGCCTGGTCGGCGGCGTGGCGCTTGAGGATATTGCCGGCGCCGGTCATGAGGCGGATGGCCTGGATGCGGTAGAAGGCCCTGCTCTTGGTCTGCTGGCTCAGCCTCTGGTAGTTGGCCAACTCGATCAGCTGCTCCATCTCCTTGTCCGGGTGCTTCTGCTTCAGCTCCTTCAGGATGCGCGCCATCTCCCGCCTCGACTCCTCGTCCTGACGATCTTTCTCGTCCACCGCGGCGGCGACGACGTTAACCCCGTCCGCGGCCTGGCCTCCCTCTGCCGCCTCGCCTCCTCCTCCTCCTCCTCCTCGGCCGCCGCCCTCGTGGCAGTTGACCACCACCTTGCCGTCCATCTCGATGTCCACCTTGGCGGCGGCGGCCGAGTGCGCCATGTTCGGCGGCCTCTCGGCCTCGCTCTCGATGATGATGGAGCGCTGCTTGCCGGTGCGATAGCGCTTGTACATGTACTTGTAGAAGAGGAGGCGGCGGTCGGCCACCCAGGCGAAGAGCACGCAGACAGGGAAGAAGAGGAAGGTGACCAGGCTCTCCCACACCTCCACCACCCCCGGCGACATGACGGCCAGGATCAGGTACAGCCAGGTGTAGGCGAAGATGCTCCAGGTGGCCGTGACGAAGAAGACCCGCAGGTGCTTGATGCGCCGCACCTCGCCGTCCGGCACCACGTTCACGCAGATGGCGATGATCACGAACATGTTGAAGGCGGCGCTGCCGACGATGGTGCTGGGCCCCAGTTCGCCCGCCACGAAGCCGTGGCCGCACACCTCGATCACCGACAGCAGGATCTCGGGCGCCGACGATCCCAGCGCCATGAGCGTCAGATTGGAGACGGTCTCGTTCCAGATGCGCACCGTGGTGGTGGTGGTCTCGCCGTTGGGCTTCTTGATGGTGATCTCCCTCTCCTGCGAGGTGATGACCTCGATGGACGACATGAAGCGGTCGGCGACAATGGAGACGCCCAGGAACATGTAGATCATTGCAACGAAGTAGACGATGGCTCGGGCCACCTTGTCGCCGAATGAAGGGTCCTGAGGGTACCAGATGGGCAGTATCACTCCCGCCGAGCACGTGTACGAGCCCACGCAGTTGTTGGTCGTGTTTCCATCCGAGGACTCCTTGTTTTTCGCCGTTTCTACTTGTTGAATGCAGGACAGAAGGATCACCAGGGTAATCCCAAGATTCACGATGCACGCACAAGGCGAGAGGTTCCACTGTCTCCCCATGTTGGCAGTTGATAGACTTCCAGGCTCTTGTCTAATCTATAAAATAAAAGCAGGAATAAAAGTTGTCTTTTTTGTTGCTTTTCACGCACCCGGAATAGCCTTTTTGCTTTCATTGCCCCAAGGGAACGAGCGATTGTGAATTAAGAAAAACATAGTAAATGGTAGGGTTGATCGTACGTGTTTGCTCTTTATTGGGTTAGGTTGGTATGGGGTTGCAATGTGTCGATGCAGCAGAATCATACGCTTACATTTTCTAAATGTTTACGATACCTAAAATGTTCGGTTCGTCTAATAATGGGAAACCCTGCCTTTCGCCAACCTTTCGCACAAGCAGAGGTAGGTGGAAGTCGACACGTTTTTATTAGCTTAAACTGCAGAGCTGACATCAAGCAATTATGGAACATGATGAAAGACGCGTATGTTAGTTTCAGTATGTTGCAAATGTATTTCCCCTTCTATTCATACCACTTTAATTTCGAAAGCTTCCGCTTGATTAATCTGTTCCACACACCCGAGTCTTATTTCAAAACCACGCCGGAGTAGCGAAGTGCACAATAAGCACTGTGATTAGGCTGTCTGCAGACGTTTGCCTTGTCCGTTTTTGCAATTTGTAAGACAAACCGAGCAGAAAGTGCACAATTCTGTAACTCCAGACTCGCAGTAACAAAAAACCACTATCGACGCTGTAATTTATGTTCAACAGACAGAAAATAGCGCCTTAAAAATGCAACAATTTGCGAGAGAATAGCAAGAAAAACTAATCGTTCGGTCGTAGCAGCCCACAAAAATCAGTTGCATTTTTTTTAATATAAACTAAACATACCTTAGACGTTAAGTCAGTAGTGACTTCCAAATCTTATGTCCGTCAACCCTTGCATTCGCCTTCCTTTCAAATCAGAAGCGGATTGCTTTGACCATGATGCTGTATTTAGGGAAGCGAGCTGTAAATGAAATCCGCCAGATTTCGCTCTTACTCAGTGCCATAGAGTGTGCCGTACAACCACGTATCCGGCCAAAATACTGATGGTTATCCGGCAAAGTCCGAAACCGAGATCAAGCGAAGCAAATCCAGATGTGGAGTGGTCAAAGTTTCTCCGCATTATGTTTTCATTATTATGCGTGAAGCATTTTCGCGTAATATAAGCAGCGTTGGTTACCGCGCGTCTGGGAGCTGTGCCCCGGCACTACGGATGTCTAAGGCAATTACTATTGCTCGATTTGTGCTGGTGAGAAAGCCCAGGGTTGCAGTGCATCATGGGCTCCCCGCCAGCACACTTATCTTCCTTCATACGACCCACCTCCTCCATTGATCTCCCCGCTGGCAGCCTCAAACAGGAGCCATCTCCTTAGCGAACCAGCGCAGCGGAATCGAAAAAGGCAAATGTTTTAACAAACCCCCTTCCCCCCCCCCCAAAAAAAAAAAATAATACAGCGACGCCTGAGACCTTCGGTGTCCTTCAGAAAGCCGTTTTGCCCAGGATTCAGTCAATACGTTAGCATTTAGGCTTTCTGCACATAACGTCTGCATAATTAAGACGCGATCAGATAGCTTCTGAATAGTTCAGGCATGAGCAGTGGTGCTTGGGATTTGTTGGCTTTTTCATTGTTATGTTAGTAATAGTGAGACATCATGGGTTGTCAAACACAATGGGTAATTAGCCTTTTAGCCCCACACACAATCTTCAAGTGACAGGACGAATACAATCCGAAAAGTTTGATAAACTGTCCTAAAGTCAAATTCAATATCGTTATTTGAATGAGTTCTTGATTTTTTTTTTTAGCCTATCTTGATCAATAGATTGTGGCGCACCAAATTAAATATGCCAAGGGTGTGCTTCAAATAATAATGCCATAGAAACTGTCATGGGTCGCAGAGAGTACGTTACTGCTGAAGCCCCATACTTTGAAATGGTACATCTATTGTGCAAGAAGATGGTGGCATTGCTCATTCATTTTATGATGAGTTGTGCTGCTCATCAATAAACTTGCAAAGAGTTCCTGGAACCTGCTATGCGCCTCACTAGGTACTTGTACTTGTTAGTTGTTGAATGACCAGTAACTATCATTGGGGTGGGGGTGGTATGCAGGATCTGGCCTCAGCTGGATCCACCATGATATAATTGGCAATGGAATGTCAAAATGTAGTCACTTTGTAGTAGTTTATTGTTCCTGAGCCAGATATAACCCTAGTACTCCAAGGGCCCCTGATAACAAACCAGCTAGCCTAGACTATGTGCAAAACTTGGAGAGGCAGATGAGTCGGTGGATGCAGGGATTATTCCCATTTGACTCCTGTTAATACTGCAAGCTAAAGCCCTAACAGTTATAGCAACGTGAAACGCTCTATAAATGTAATTGTGTTGTTATAATGGACAAGCAGTGCAACATTTGCTAGACAGTGCTCTCATTGGCAAGTTATTGGATCTTGGCTGGTTAAACTCCAACAATACCTCCAACACACACTTTGGGATTCCCAAAGATTCATTGCCTTTTACCAATTTTTTAAAATACTTTGTAGAATTAAGTAAATGGTGTGCACTCCATTTCAGACAGAATTTGCATGTGAGGGTGGTGAACATATGTGGAACTATCAGTCTGGTTTGGGTGCTCTTTAGCATGGTGATGGGTTTCAACGTGTGCCAGACACCCAACTGACACCCCAAAAATCGAATAATATTTTTTAGAGAGAAGATTGCTGCATATTTTCTACTGCACTTTGACTTTGTGCACATTCATTGAGGGATGTTCTCACTATGAAGCTCTTGGGTTTATAATGCACTGTTAGCCACAACAAATGAAGTACCAATCGATAACTTGTTGAAATGATTGTGAAATTGTCTGCACTAGTACAGTACTTTGATTTCACTGGTTGGGACAGTAACTGGAAACTATATATCGCTTGTTTTCACCTCACTGAACAATTTGGACATCCCTCCTCGCTTTGGTTCATGAAGGAATTTTAAGAAGCAATTGAATGTGCTGTGTTTCATGTGTAAAATAATGGTCATGTAATGGTGGTTACTTCAGCTTTTATAAAACGAAGGAATGAATAAAGAACAGCACTGCAGGCCAGCTCATTTGTTGGGGAAGGAATACTTTAATATGTGAAATTGGAAACATTGCTGTGCTATAGCAACCGTCAATTCATATACGTAGGACGTTCGGTGTTTTGGGTAAAGAATGCACAGCAAGTTCCATCAAATTACACTTTTGCATCAAAAGCAAATGTACTTAAACTTTTTTAAAAAATAAATCTGAATTCTTAAGGCATATACAAAATATATAACCAAAATATCATCTAGCTATTTCGGTTTTTCCCATGTGTGTTTATGACTATAACATGAATACTATTTAGTTGAACTATATCAGTCTTGGAGGAAAATGCCTGCTGAAAAGTCACGCGTGGGCTTATATAGCTACACTTTGCCACAAATACTACTACTTCGGTAGCCTCGTTTGAATCAAAATATACAGAAATGAAATTGTTTGCATTTCAGTATCGTAAAATGCATTGCAACCTTGAAGCTTGACTTAATTGTGTCAAAATTATTCACTTGCCAGTATATTCAATTTGTACGTCAAAGTATGAAGAACGAATTTTCTTAAACTCACATTGTTGAAACCAAATATTGCTTACCGAGTAACTTGTAATGGCCAAAGCCTCGTTACATTACACACTTTAGGCCACACCTGAACCCAAGAGATGACAGTGTTCATTGCCTGCTAGTTTTAGTTGAAGTGTTATACTATAATGAAAGCATTAACCAGTACTTAAGTATGGTCAGTGGGTAGAGTACCTAATTTCCATTGCACCATCAGTCATCTGTTCTGTTTCCATCTGACATGACATTGTTTTAAGTCCCTTTCCATGTAGTGGGCAATAGTGATAAGTGGCCATATTTCAGATAATCACTTTCAATTCAATCAAATGAAGCAACATTTAGAAGCATTTTGAGGATGTTTCCATCTCAGTGGTCACACATGCCCGGGATATGTGATAGCTATTATTAACCGTGTGATTTGACTTATTTTGCTGTAGGTCCTTGTTGCATTGTTCTTGTTCCAGTAGCATTTGTTGCATTTCAAAGAGGTTCCGCCTGTTTATTGTGAAATTATGCACCGCTTGAGCCTCGATTCTGAATTCCCTGGTGGTTTGGTATAGAACCGGGTCTCGGACAAAGCGGATGACCCATTCAATTGTAGATTTCACAGGGAGATCAATTGCTGTATTATTATATCAGTATCTTCTCCTTAAAGCTTCGAGTGACATAGTTTCTTCCATCAGAACATTTTATGTAAATGATTCAGCCAGTCTCGGGTGGAAGGATGGAAGGATACAGTGATCATACAGAATAATACTGTATTTGCCGCGATGCTATATTTTTAAATATCTACCTTGCTATGGTACATGAAATGATTTGCTCTCCATGCTATCGTGAAACCAGCACTGCTGCAGTATATTCGGAGATCATCACCAGTTCATTCCGTGCAATTAAATCCACAGACTGAGGCAGCACAGATACTGCTGTGTGTGGTGCTGTTGTAACGTTTGGGACGACATGATCGCTCTATTCTAACCATTGGCCAGAATATAATAAATACAGTGCTGCATTAGGCAAACAAAAACAGTATCAAAGACCATTGCCACTTATATTACAGGACCGTTTCATCGTGCTTTGAAAGCTGTCAGCTAAAATAAGTATGATGCTGTAACAGTATAGTTTCCTTCGGTGGTTAACAGATCATCTATTCTGTGTCATTACATATTGATGGTATCGTATGTCAACGTTTTGAAGGGAATTTGTGTTCGAGGCAAATGAGCTTCACAGCAATAAACAACAACCCACCTAATTAATAGTCGCTTCAAACCAGTCGCGACGCACGATGTGCATGAATCAGATTTAATTTTGTTTTAATTGCGTGTGAAGTTGAATTCTCTTTGAGATGCCATTGCCTGTGCACCTCTGTGGGGAGTTCTGCAGTTTAGAGTTGTTTAAGGCAGGGTTAGCAATGTGACGTGGGATCATCTGGGTTTCAGGGTTAAATCGGTCCATCCTCCCCTTTCCACCAAATCACTAATCAGAGGATTACTTAATTTCATCTCCGATCAAAACATTGCTTGGCCGGGCTCAGGCCATCGGTTGTCTTAACAGGTCAAGACCCAATTGTGGAAAGCATCAAAGAGCTCCAGCACAGTGAACACCCGATGAAATGAAGGTCCTGTCATGAGCAGACTAACCCTGCTTACTGCACAGCGATTACACACACAAGTGTGGCTCACCCTGTGCCCCCTGGCAGGTCTGTGCATCACTACACCTTGGAACAAATTAATAGGCAGCATTTTAACACGAATGTGATGCAGAACGCCACAGAGTGAGTGCATAATAGTTGAAGAGCTTTCTATAAAATTCCAAACAGACACAAACGAATGTCTCAGCTAATTACAAGATTGCACCTTATTCTTATGAATATGTATATTCATTTTATCTGATCGGGATAAAGTAATGATGATAATGTTTCTTGGAGAGAAGGCGAAGTTTCTTTTACTGATTATTTAATGCACGTTGCACCCCCCCCCCCCCCCCCCCCAAATAAAATGCATTAAGCATTTCTGTCTATATGATGAACTGCACAGTAGTTCATATAGCATACGTTAGGGTTTGGCACAAGTTTTGTGACAGCATTGAAATTCAGCCTGTATTATTATTATTATTATGTGACATTTTCTGTGTAACAAGCTCAGAGTGACTACAAAAGCTTTACTGACATTTCAAACAACAACAACTTGCATTTATATAGCGCCCTTCACGTGGAATAAACCCTACACTACAGCTTTCATGCACCTACTTATTTTTTCAGTGAATTATTCTGTATATTACATACATTTTATTAAACGATTTTAATTATTGATTTATCTTTGAACATGTGTACTTTTCAATCAATGCTCACGTTCTTAATTATTTTCCCCTGTGTAATATTTTTTACTTTCAGATGTGTGAAATCGTGTGAGCAGTGAACTGAACTGATCCCGAAGTTTAACTACAGGATTTGCGATTATTGTATTCTGCTACACGTTAACTTATGCAACAGTTACAATGTTTGATAACTGATAATATTTAACACTCAGTTTAGACCTGTCAAGCACATCTCATTGATTACGCTAAAAAAAAACTGGCACACTTGGTTCACTGTAATACTATACACAGATTTATTCAGTTTATTTGTATTGCAGTCTAACCATATAATCAATATAACTTGCATCATCTCATTCTTCGTTACCATCTGGATTGGAAGTATCAATAGTGCCCGAATCACAACTAATCCTGCACAGGTTTTCTTTGTTTCAATGACATATTTTAAAAGCAGTAATCACAACCTCAAATTATATTTTACAATGCAGTTCTCTACATGAAACTTGGTAAGCAGCCTTTCCATTGTAATCGTCTCCCTACGATACACAGTATTTTTGGAGCTGCTTGTTTTAAGATTACAACTAACAGAATATCTGTATTTAAAACATAGTTGAACGTTGGATTTGCAATATATACTTCTGATAAACTTACCTCAGAAGAGTCCCTGTAGCTGTCTGGAGCTTAATAGGAAAAGACTGCATATGATCCCTTCTCTAAATTTAACAGAAAGACATCAGGGAAGATCCTTGTCCTTTAAGTGTCTCTAAACATGGTTTGCATAGCTTTGTCTGAGCTTATCTGTAGTTTTGTACTTTTGCTTCCATACATGGATCTGTTCCCAACAGTAACTTAGAGCTGTTGAACAGCATTGTCTGGCAATCTTTAACTGTATGCAGCATGTGAATGATAAAGTCTGCATGCTAGCATTGTTTCCATTGCTAATCACAGCATGCAGTGTTTTAGAAAATTAATTAAAACACTGAATTTCTTATATATATATTTAAAATATATTTGCATATATATATTTAAAATGAAATGACCCCTTCTAGTTTCTCCCTTTTCCTCCTGAAGTTGGTGACTGATTAGATAGGAACAGCAGAAAGCCACTCAAACCTTTTCAGCCTTTTGTTTAAACCATAATAGATTTCAGTCTTGCTCAGATGGCAACACTCGTGACTCAGAAGGTTGTGGATTGAAGTCCCATTCTGGACTTCGCATTCATGTTTTCTAGGCAGACAGTCACTCCAATGCAGTGCTGAGGATGTGTTGCATTGTTTGGAGTTGCCATCCTTCAGATGAGACACTGAACTGAGATCCCCCTGCCTGTGGAGGTTAAAAAACCCATGACACTATTTGAAAAGAGAAGGGAGTTTCTCCTTGTGTCCTTGCCAACAATTCCCCAAATAAAATTGGTCCTTCACTTGATGGCTGTTTGTGGGACATTGCTGTGCACAAATTGGATGTCATATTGACCTATGAAATATAAGGTTACTATACAGAAAATCATGTGAAGCACTTTCAGAATTTCTCCTGACATGAAAAACGCTATATCAAATGCAAGTTTTTTTTATTATTATATCATGCATTTTACAAAGTTTTCTGAATTTTCCTTAATATCCAAGCCCCCTTTGAAACATCCCAATTGATTCTGCATCTATGCTTTTTGGAGCAGTGCATTCATATTTTTATAACTCTTTGTGTGAAGAAATGTTTTGTGATTTCAGTTCTGACAGATTCAACTCTAAATTTAAGACAATCGCTTGTTTTGGATCTTTCTACCATAGTGAAGAGAATTCCCTTATTAATTTGTCAATTCCCTCTCATTATTTTTTACACTTCAATCAAATTTCCCCTTAACCTCCTTAGCTCCAGGAAATCTAAATTAAATTTCCCTAGTTCTCCACCATAGTTAAGCTCCTTCATCCCTAGTATTAATTTGGTGAATTGTCCATGGATACCTTCCAAAGCTAGAATTCCCTCCTATGACTGAAAATGAATGCAATGCTGTATAGCATAGATATTCAAGTAGAGTGGGGGGTCTGAATGATGTTTTCTTGCCAGAATACTAATGGTGCAATATTCCTCTTTGACTTTAAGTGTTTGGCAGGCTAAAAATCAGACAGCCATAGTCAATCAGAAGCCATTTCTAAACTGAGGCTGTGACTCCAGTTTTACAGGACAACAACATGAGAATTGCCAGCTGGACAATCTGATGTGTATATATACACAATGATTTCAGCTGGAAAAAGAATGAGGGTGGTTCGGGGGAACAGAAGAAGCATACGGCCAGTGATGGCAGTTTGAAATATTTGGTAAAATAATATTTAAAGTAACAACACCATATCAAGGAGAACACTTCACAAATATTTTCTGTTAACCTTGAATCAGGCTCCATTCAATCATCATACACATGGATACTTCAGGTCCTCTGCATGAGCTAGATATTCCCACAAAAACAAGAACTCACACCTCAGCAATTTTCTATGTAATATTTAGGCACTTTGTTATCACCTTCCCCAAATTATGGCAGACATCTTAATTAACATTGCTAATGTCAGTATATAATTTTGAACCCTACATGAGGTTTGACCTCTGCTCTATATAATTGCAGCAGTATTTTAATCATTTTATTTTCCTGACCCTTTATTTTAAAACTCAGCATCACAGCTGCCTTTTTGATTGTTTTCTGCACCTGCAAACTAGCTTTTAGTAACTCTTGGATTTGAATCCCCAAGCCTTTTTGTTTCTCTATCTCCTAGTGCTACCTATATTTAGAATGTATTCCCATCCAGAAATTTGTATCTCTAAAGTTTGTAACTGTCCCACACTTTGCTGTGTTGAACTGCATCTGACATAGCAAAGCCTAATTGCTTAATCTGCCTGTGTTCCAAAGATATGCATGGAAATCATGCTGGATGCCATATCCACTTCCACACTTACCATCTTTCCTATACTTTGCCCAAATGGCTATTCTTGTGTGACTCTGGATAATGAGACTCAATATGTTTTTCCATCATTGAGGGCATCACTGTACAGCTGTACCCCATGCACCTTTCAGCAGGGTTCACTGGGATAGCAATCAGGAATGGGAATCCCAGTCCATAACAATAATAATTTTTGTATTTAATATGGTGCCTGAGCACCTCTTTGCGATGTCTTAAAGTGCTTCACAGGATATAGTATAAAAAAGTAACATTTTCTTACTGTATGTCATATATCGTATCATGGCCTGTCTGGCTCCTGTTGTGGGAGCCATTATTCCCCATTTTACTCATCTTTCTGTATTTTTTTCTAGTAAGTTCAGGGCCAGATGTTCAGACTGTATCTGTGACCTGAACCACTTGTTTGTTACAGAGCCTTGCAGTTTCCCCTGGAGGATTGGCTGAGGATGTGTCTGAACAATGGCAGTAGTTTCTGGCTGATCATCCGGCTCAATGGCTGAGTGGCGCTTCGCTCATTAGGTGACACGGGCTTCATGCCTCTGGACAAGCTAACCCGCTGACACATAGCTGCTTCTTGCTTGGAACTTTTTGTTTGTTTTCTCTCTCTATAACTTTCATTTACACAAATTGCTCATCTGATATCAATCAACATATGAGGTATTGTGGTCTGCCATCACATTCACACTGTCCAGGAAATAATGAGGCAGTGGGAGCTGGGAGTAAGCACCAGTATATTTCAAGCTGGATTTGCAATGGCAAAAAAAAACCTCACTGCTCTTTTTAAAAATAATCGTTAGTAATCAATGTAAGGGAACTTTCAATAATTTTTGCCTTGATTTCCAGCATTGGACGCTCTACACCATTTCTTTCTGTTAAACAGAGAGCTGGTATTTATGCCATAATTTTAAACCCATCTTAAAATGTTATCAATGTAACTGTGGATGGGAAGGAATGTACTCAGTGAGTAAAACAATTAATCCTGATAACTTACGATCAACAAATGTGAAACTTATTATCATGTTGGAGTTAAACATTGTGACTGGTCACGGGCAGCAGGTTAATGTATTTTTTGCAATATAGAGTTGCACAATAAAAGTTTGTAATAAAATTGCATTTTCTTTAGCCAGACCCAGGCTTCAGTTTGGCAAAATACTGCAAATTCTGGAAATCTGGAATAAAAATCATAAAATGCAGAGACCAATTGTAGCACTACCATTGCTGCCCAGTTGAGATTAGATAACTCAGCACTGATCAAGGATCGATTTCTATCCTAAGGAGAAGTTGTAATGGGGGATAAGGACATGGCAGAGTCCCTAAATGGGTACTTTGCATCTGTCTTCACCCTAGAAGACACAACAAGTCTGCCAACAATAGAGATGCACCAAGGGGATAAGGATAGGGAGCAACTTGGAAAAATTTTCATTAGTAGAGAATTGGTACTAGGGAAACTGTTAGCACTAAAAAGTGACAAATCCCCTAGCTTGCATCCCAGGGTTTTAAAAGAGGTAGTAGAGGCCTTGTGTCTGATCTTCCAAAATTCCTTGGATTCTGGAACAGTCCCCATGGATTGGAAGATCGCAAATGTTACACCACTATTTAAAAAAGGTGGAAAGGAAAAGATGGGGAACTATAGGCCAGTTAGTCTCACATGAGTGATAGGAAAAATTTTAGAAACATTGATTAAGGATGTGGTAGTGCGGTATTTAGGGAAGCAGAATAAAATTAGGCCAAGTCAACATGGTTTTACAAAAGGGAAGTCATGTTTGACAAATCTCATAGAGTTATTTGAGGATATTTCGAGTAAACTAGATAAGGGTGAATCAGTGGATGTGGTCTATTTGGACTTCCAGAAGGCATTCGATAAGGTGCTGCATAAAAGGTTAGTCCAAAAGATAAGGGCCCATGGAATTGGGGGGAGCATATTAACGTGGATTGGGGAATGGTTAACGGGTAGGAAACAAAGAGTAGGGATAAATGGGTCCTTTTCAGATTGGCGGGATGTGACTAGTGGAGTGCCACAAGGATCAGTCCTTGGGCCTCAGCTATTTACCATCTACGATCTAGATGAGGACATCAAAGAATATATCTAAATTTAGAATATATCTAAATTTGCGTATGACACAAAACTAGGAGGAAGTGTCAACACAGAGGATGACGACATTAAAAAAATGCAGCGAGACATAGATAGGTTAGGTGATTGGGCAGACAGGTGGCAGATGAAGTATAATGTAGGGAAGTGCAAAGTCATCCACCTAGGCAGCAAAAGCAGTAGAGCGGGTTATTTTTTAGAAGGGGAGAGATTGGAATGTGTTAGTGTCCAGAGGGACTTGGGTGTCCTCGTACACCAATCACAGAAAGTTAGTCTGCAGGTGCAGCAAACAATTAGGAAAGCGAATGGTATGTTAGCATTCATTATGAAAGGATTAGAGTATAAGAGTAGGGAAGTCTTGCTGCAACTGTATAGGGCCCTGGTGAGACCACACCTGGAATACTGTGTGCAGTTTTGGTCTCCTTATTTAAGGAAGGATGTACTTGCCTTGGAGGGGGTGCAGCGTAGATTTACTAGGTTAGTACCAGGGATGAAGGGGATGAGTTACGAGGATAGGCTGACCAATTTGGGCCTATATTCTCTCGAATATAGAAGAATTAGAGGGGATCTTATAGAAACCTATAAGATCATCAAAGGGCATGATAGAGTAGATAGTGGGAGATTGTTTCCCCTGGTTGGAGAAACTAAAACCAGGGGTCACAACCTTAAAATCAGAGGCCAGCCCTTTT